AGGCATGCAGTAGATCCTTTCAATCTGGAAGCACCTGTTTCTAGAATATTTTCCTCTGTTACATCTTGGATAATTTTCTTTCTACTATTGTCATTATTCTCGTTCTTGACCAACTATTAGTGGGATGTTGGACCTTTTGCTCTAAACTTTTCATTCTCTTACCTCTTTTCTCCTGTTGTCTCTCTTAATTTCTTATTTTATTTTCTAAGAGATTTTCTTGACCTTCAAAACTGTATATTAAATAATCAATTTATGATTTGCTTTTTTAATTTTCAGGATTTTTAAAATCTGATTTCTTCTTATGATATTCTATGAGAGACTATCATTTTGCAAAGGTAATTCCATGCTAACATCTTTGAAGATAGGGGTTTGGTTTTGTTTGTTTGTTTGCTTTAGTTTTTACTCTTTCCTTCATTGTCTTCATTTCCTCCAGGTTTATTTTCTACATGTGTTTGATATTTGGTTGGTCAGTCTCATGTTGGAGATGTTCCAGGAATGTTTACTGATCCCTAACTATTCATATTTAGAAGAGAGGCTTTAACAGGCTGGTTGGAAGGACTACTTACCATATCATATGTAGGACTATCAACCAAAAGGTCATCAGGTCACCAATCAGCCTTTTGTTGGTGGAGTCCCAAAGGCAAGATCTGGAAACCCTTTCTCTGGGCTTATTCATTTTCTCAAGGAAGAATCTTGCCTGGTGATGTGCCTGGTAATAATAGGCATTCTGGAAGTGCCGACTAAGGACCTGACCAGGGATAGCCCACAGTTGCCCACAGTTACCCTGTTTCCAGCCCTGTGCCTCTCTCCTGATCTCTGCTGACCCTGGTGGCCCTATGTCTAGAGTCTCTCCAGTTCAGTTTCTCTAGAGAGTAAGCTTTGTTTTCTTGGAAAGCTAATTAGCGGGGGAGGGTATCCTGGCAGATGGTGAGTCACCTGGCTGTATGAAGTAGCAGTAATGACCTGTAAGTCTAGCTACCACATACTAAGACTTTCAACTCTCCCGCTATGTTTAGTCCTCACCTCACCCATGACTTTGCAGCTCTAGGTAACTCCAGGTGCCCTGCCTCTCAGAGGTTTTAGGTAGGTCAGTTCCTTTCCCATCAGTTAACACGCCTTTCTCCAGCCACATTCTGTCTTCTAAAAATATGTTAAAATCTCATGTTCACACTTACATCGGTTGGGATTCTTTAGGTGCAAGTAGCAGAAAACCTAGTCTTACTAAACACTTAAATAATTACAAAATCCCTTATCACATGTGACAAGAAGTCCAGGGGTAAAAGTCCCCAGAGATCAGGAATTGGCTCTGTCTCTCTGCCCATCTTTCATTCCACACTTTTCTCTTCAGTCTTTTGACTCCATCTTCAAAGTCTATAGCAAGAAGGTTGCAGCTCTTTCAGGTACATGCGGATAAAACAAGGTCCAGTGACGGTGGAGACCACATTTTCCTCATGTCTCTTTTTAAAGATGAAAAAAATCTTCGCAAAAATATCCCCTCCTCAAAAAAAAAAAAAAACCATTTTCTTTTGTTTCTTATGCCCTTTCCCAAACCAATCATGAGCAAGATGAATGAGATTCCGTTACTGATTTGGGGATTAAATGGAGGCTGGGAAGTCATCACCATAACTATCAACATATTTCTGCTGATCTTTTTATTCTTTCGGACTAATGCCTTTTTATTCCTTTACTGTGACTTTAGTAGGATTTTGGGAGGGAGAGGAAATAAGTGTGTTTGATCCATTTTCCTCATTAACAGAAATCAGCCACATTTATATATACCTGTACTACTAGCTCACTTTATTTTCTTTTTCTTTTGTTTTTTTTTAATTCTTCTTATTAAATTTTTCCCATGTACAGAAAAGAAAAAAATATAATGAACATCCTTATGCCTAATTTTAAGAATTGTAATATTAAGGTTTTGCAATTATATTTATTCCGTCTATTTTTTTTGGTGTTATATTTTGAAGTAAATTGCAGATATCATGGCATTTTAACTTTAATGACTTCCAAATGCATCCTTAAAAAATAAAGATATTTTCCTATATAACCATGACACTATTATCACACTTAACAAAATCTAGTTCTCTTTTATCTCTTGCAAGACAGGAGGTCCTATTGTGGTGGGGAAGGCTTCAAAAAGTGCCTACTAGAAAGTTTAAGAACAACTTAAATGTCCATCAATAGACTAATTAAGTAAATTAGGACATATTCATACTATGGAATACTGGGGAATATTAAAAATGACATAGTTCTATACGTGGGAAGATTTCTATATCACTAGGTTAAAAAAAAAGCATAGCTAGAAATAGTACATACAATGTGATCCAGTTCTTGCTTAAAAATTCATGTGCCTATGTATGCACAGTAAAGAAGTCTGGAAGGATATAAATCAAAATGGTAATAGGACCTCATCTTGAGTGGCAGGATTATGGACACTGTTTTCTTTCTTAATGTGTTCAGCATTATTAATATTGTTTTACTATTTGGGCCTTCAGCTGTAAATAGTGTGGTTGCCCCTTCTGATACAGGAGAGTAGGTGTCTGGGAATGCAGGTATCCTGGGCAGATGTGGTCTCAGTACTGTAGACTTTTAACATGCAGGTTGAATGGCATCTTTGTTTTTATAAGTATAGGAAAGTGATAGTCAATAATAAACTCTCATACTAACAGAGTCCTTATAATAACACTGAAAAACTATCTGTGGCTTTGTTTTGGGTTTTTGCGTGTGTGTAAGTTTTTTTGTTGTGGTAAAATATGCATAACAAATTTTACCATTTTAACCATTTCTAAGTATACAGTTTAGTGGCATTAAGTACATTTACATTGTGGTGCAACCATCACCACCGTCCATCTCTAGAAATTTTTCATCATTCCATACTGTACTCATTAAATACTAACTCCTCGTTCTCCCTCTTCTAGTGTCTATAACCATGGTTCTACTTTCTGTCTTTATGGATTTGACTGTTCTAGGTGCCTCATATTCAAAAAATAAAAAGCATACAATATTTGTCTGTTGTAACTGGCTTATTTCATTTAGCATAGTATCTTCAAGTTTTATCCATGTTGTAGCATGTTAGTCAATACTTTATTCCTAAATGAAATACTTTATTTCTTTTGGAGACTTAACTAATATTCCATTGTATGGAGACTTAACTAATATTCCATTGTTTATCCATTCTTCTATTGGTGGCCATTTGGGTTGTTTCCACCTTGATGGCTTTGTTTTTAAATGACTGTGCTTTGGGGTTCTGGTTTGAACTCAAGTATATAACACCTAGAAAGATTTCAAAGCAACAAAGAATCCAGAGTGAAAACGAGGGAGAAGGGAAACAAATCAACAATACTGACTTGTAAGGGCAGCTTTCAATGAAGAATGCAAAAAATCAATTTTTTTTTTTTTAAGGATCTTGATTTTTTTTTTCTCTAAAACTTCTTTTTTTCTCTGCCTTTCTTCCTAGTCAATCACCTGATGAAAGTAAAGAAATAGTGAAAACAACTAACTTTACTGTTTCTCTTCTAACTCTTCTACTGATGTGGCTATGTTTGTTTTGTTTTTGTTTTTGCCTTTTTGTTTTGGTTTGTTTTGTTTTTACTGCTTGGGAAGTGTATAGTGCCACCTCTTACTGTGACATTGCTTTTCTATTAGCTCAGCCATAATTGAAATGAGATATGTTGGATTATTTATATACCTGGAATTCATTTATTCCTTCATTGAGAAACATATTTCTTTAACACCTACTATGAGCCAACCATGCCAGCTGGAGGGTCTAGTAGCTTGTCAAAAATTAAATGGAAACATTCATCTTCAGAAGATACAATTAAATTACATGTGGCTTGATATTAAGAAACTGGCCTAGGTATGGGGTAAGGGACTTATGGCCCCATCACTGGGAAAAAACCATTTTTCATGCCATATGATAATTTCATAAAGCCATAGTTCAGTAACAAAAAAAAAAGTGTGCGTAGGACCGTCTTTCATCATCACTGATATTTTGTTGATTGAACTTGTTTACCTAGTTGATCTTCCTGAAAGCTTCACTTTCAAAGAGAAGCGAGTACATGGAAGTACAAATTACATGCAAATGGTTGAATAGTTATAACTGAACTCATGGAAGATTCGTTTTCAGTTAAATTAACCCTCTATCACACTACTGTATTTTACATGCCACTTACACTATGGGCTTTTTCCCTCATGCCCAGATTCAAGCAGGACAGAGCCTCAGCTCCACCGAATCTGTAGAGAGCTGGTCGCTGCTAACCTTCTCAGCCCAAATGCTTTCCTTGTGCAGATTTGCTGTTGACAGGAGAGCTAATTGGACTGCCTTCTGAGCTAGTTAAGTCTGGGTAGGTCTCGTTACCTCAGAAAAGTTTATTCTGTTTGTTCTCTTTTGCCTTTAGACCATCCTCTGCAAATAGTATAAGCAGCAGCACATCTTCAAATAACAGTGGCTGCACTCCCGAACCCCCTCTGCCCCCAGCTGGAGGTGATCTCGCCAGCCGACTGTCGAGTGATGAAGGGGAGATGGACGGAGCCGACGAATCCGAGAAGTTAGACTGTCAGTTTTCCACCCACCACCCCAAACCTCTTGCGGTAAGCCACCTCCTGTTTCCTTCCATGCATTTTCCCCCCCTATGTTTTATGAGCATTTAGGCGTTTGTGTCAGAAGGCACACATTCCTAAGGAGAGGTGGTCAGGACAATGATTTATGGAAAGGCTTACCCTGAGGTTAAATGATTGCATTAGAAATACCCTTGAAAATCACAGAAGGAAAGGAAAGGGCTCCTAGCTGATTATAATCCTTTAAACACCAGAGTATTTGTGGTCCACCTTGAAGCAATAATGCTCGAGAAATGGTGTTTATATAAGTGCACCGGGGAGCTGACCTTCTGGCTTTGCCCATCTAAAAACAGAGCCTCTGATTTCAAGAGTTAGTCTAGCTCACCTGCATTGGGAACTGTCTGTCTTAGCAGTGTGCCAGGTGCCAACCCTAACTGGTTTTCTCCCCTGCTCGTTCTGAGTTTTATTGTTATTAGTAAGTGTGACCATATGGCACCAATACTGAGAGACAGAAAGAATGTGTTGAGGAAAGAAGGCATTTCATGTCAGCATGATTGCTGACTAACGAAAAGGTCAGTTTCCTCCCAATTTTGAAAGAGTCCATTTTAACAATTCATGTCATTGAAATCGAGGTGGGAAACTTAAGGAGGCATGAGCTCAAGGCTTATTTATGTTTACTGTGTGAGCACTTAAGAAGGGAACGCCTGGTGCTACCATCACAGGCCTGAATGCTGGGGGCCTGGAACGTGGGACCCCATGGCTAACTGGCTCTGGAGCCAGTTTAAGCCCTATAGGAATAGCTTTGACTCTTCGAGTGAGTCCCTCCTCTCCTCTGTCTGTGAGATGAGTGAAGGCCAGCTTCACTTCCTGTTGGTGGGAATGATGGTGACCTGTGGTTCACCAACAGCCTGAGACTTTGCCTCTTAGGTAATTCAGAAATAGTGAGGGATAATTAGGAATGCCTTTGATTCCTAGTAATAGAAAACTCAACTCATGCAGTGCATGCACTACAGTCATTTAATTATCTCATATAACAAGAAGTCTGGAGGTAGGTGGTTCCAAGCCAAGAGAGAATCTCTGCAACCCTCTTCACCTTTCACACATGGTCTTACCTTTCACACAGCTCCATTGTCACATCCTCACCCAGTAGCATTCTACACAGGTTGGAAAGGGACAAACAGAAAGGGAGTCTTCTTCATAGGCGTTATCTTATGTCATTTCGTAGGGAAGAAAATCTTCCTGTGAATCCCCTAACAGATTTCCCTTTATATCTATCAGAAGTGGGTCACGTGCCCATCCCCTATACCACTCGGTGGCAGAGAAGAATGAGGTCAGCCATGATCATCCTAAGGTTCCGGGAAGAGACTTGCCTTCCCTGCTCACTGCTCCATGTCAGATATCCGAACAAAAGTATTAGCAAGGAAAAGGCAGGAAGAGGTGGGAGCAGGGTGGCAGTTGATGAGATTGACAGCCTGTGAGGTCTGCTACAGGGGCCAATGCAGTGAGGATTTATAGCTCTGCCAAGGACATAATACGTGACCAGAAACAAGAGCTTCTCGGGGCACAGCTTTATATCTCATTGGAATTAGAGACATAGGTAGCAAAGACAAAAATTTGCCTCTAGCTTCCAAGTCTGAAATAGAGACCGGGCTCTACCAGAAGGTCACATTCTAGAGCATATCAAGATGTTTGTGCAAATGACAAGCTGCCAGGAAATGGGAGATTCACACAACTCTGGGCATGGCGGCTTTGTGTGCCCTTAATGTTTTGCCAATTTAAATGGAAAGGCCATGGATTATTTTCTTTGCTTTGTCCTTTCTCTCACGGTCGATTGATATATTAATCATTTTTGTAATGAACACTCGTTAAGTGTGTCTTTAGCAACTGGGATGAAGGAAGAAAAGATGTCTAGACCTGGAATAGCTCCCACATGACGCCAGGGACCGGCTTCCACACTGGAGAATTCCCTTTGTATGTTTTCTTGTGTGGTCAGTAAGCACTTAATATGAAAGTGCAAAAACGAGTTTTTCATCAGGAGTACCAGATTTGGTAGGTGGCAAGATTTTAAGGCAAAATTTCCAACATAAGCAGAAACAAAACAAAGGGAAGGTCTTGCATTTGCTCCTGAGAAATGTCCCAAAGGCTGGTTCTGGGAAAGGTTTGTGGAACAAGTGCCAGTCCAGCACTGGGTCTGGGAGGGAGGCCAGGCGCTGCTGGAGGCCTGGGGGAAGGGGGAGAAAGCTGCATTTGAGTTATAGAGTCATTTGCAGACTTGTCTGAGCTCTAGACCAGCCAAATGTCACCTTCTCAGAGGCCACTTCTTGCATTTCTGGTTGTCTTAACATCATAATAAAATTATGTTTATTATACAGCTAACTGCCCATATTTCAGCCATATGTTTTAAATGTGATGGTTTGATTTAAACATTTTGTGGGACTTTATCTCTCCAATCCATCATTTGGCCCAATCCCTACTATCCTCATGTTAAAGAAGAAGATAACAATGGGGTCCCTGGCCTTTATAATCAAGTCAGCACATAGGCATTATATATAACATAAAACATCCATGTAGTGATTCCAAGGTGAAATGTAATGAAGTAAGCAATGGGTGTGCCGTGGAGTTCAAAGCGGCAGAGCTAATCAGACAAAAGGCATTGGAAATGAGAGTCTAGATTAGGGCACTGAGGGAGGAGAGAATTGGGATTGACAGAGAAGAGGGAAGAAGATGGCGGGCAGAGGGAACAGCATGCGTGTACGCTCAGAGGCAGTGATGTGTCCCAGGGCAGCCTGCACGTGCTAATAGGAGGGGAGATGAGGTCAAGATGAGGAAAAGAGGAGTTTAGCCTACTTAGAAGCAAAGTGGCCCTATTGACAACAGATAGGAAAGGTATAGCCAGTTGGCAGAAGATTAGAACGAGTTGTTTTCATTATTGTGATGAGAAGCAAGGAACCACCGAATTCCTTAAAATGGATGATTCGGTAAGCAAGTAGTGCTGAAAAATCACCTTGGTTGATTTAGGGGTTTTTAACCCTAAAATGCTGGCTCAGTCAAGATATAGAGAAGGTAGCCCTCAGTGCCACAGAAAATTGAATGTCACTATTGTTGAGTCATAACGTGGGCTTCTGCAGAAAATCTAGAGCTCAAATTAAAGAACCACAGAAATATTTTTGGCTTCAATACTATTTGTTTCTTTATTCTGAGTAAAATTGTACCCCTGTGTGTTTTTATGCAAATGTTATTTTTCTGTGTATGGTTTATATTAGCTTATTAACCTGTAATCAAAGTTAAAATGGTTTTTTTTTCCTCTCACAGTTTTGCTCATTTGGGAGTCGCCTCATGGGACGAGGGTACTATGTGTTTGATAGAAGATGGGATCGTTTTCGATTAGCACTAAACTCCATGGTAGAAAAACACTTGAATTCGCAGATGTGGAAGTAAGTGAGCAGTTTTTATGCAATATAAGATCAGAGCTGCCCCACAACTATCTGAACCCAGCTTTCTAAATGAATATCAATAGTTGGCTTTTCATAGAACAAAATGATTCTGAATCAGGATTCATGATTAATTCACAAATATCGGCTCTTCTTAATGGCTTGCCTACAGTTTTTCGGAGACACATGCAATGTGTGGTATGCCTTATCTTCTTTGGAGATCATTTTTGTTTCGGTAACCTTCTAAATGAAAAGGGTATTGGATAAAATCTTATTTATTTAATAGTACTATGACCAAGAACATCTAAGGATATTAAGAATATGCTTCTGTTTCAATGTTAAGGCTATAATGTCAATACTAAAAATTTCATAGTGGTTATGGACCAATTTCTAATTGTTTAATGTCTTATGAAAAACATATGTACAGCGGCCCACAGGGCAGATCCTGAGCAATGTTGCAAAGTTGGTTAAGCTTGTCTTTGGCCCTTCCCACCTCCCAGAACGCTCTCTTCACCTCTGCTCGCACTTCTCTCTAACCTAAACCCAAGCTTACATTCTATTTCTCTAATGTCCCTTTATTCTCCAATACCTCCCAATCTATTTACATTTTCATAGGAGATTCATGAAAAGGGGAAGAAACTTTCTTGACTTAGGAAAATGCTACTGTGAAGGAGTGACAGGCTAGACCCTCTCAAACCGCAGCACATAAGGAACTGCCATTCTGGCCACTGGATAATGCAAGGCCAGTCTGCTGGCTGTCTCCACCCCCAACTCCTACAAAAGTGAGCTGTTAAGACATAATCTTTTAGAATCATGGATCTTCAGGTCTAGGCCCAGATGGTTCAGGAAAGCCAACTCTGAACCACTCATCCTGCCCAGCGAAGCCCAGGAAAGGCCAGGAAGGCATTCCCAAGAAATGGAAAGGTGCTGGCAGTGGGGATGGAACGGAATTCAAAACTTGCCAATTCCCAGGTTTCCTCCTCTCTCCCAGGCAGCTGTGGCACTTCGGCACCTTTTCACCCTGATGCCCAAAGACCTTCCCCCCTGAACTTCTAGGAGTGAGCCCCATTGTGTCTGAAATAAGCTCATAGTAGGTTCAGGACTAAATGTTAACACTTCAAATAAAGTAGGAAAGGGCCACAAGAGAAGCTTATCATTTCTTCCCACTTAAGTGACTGCCCAGTGTGTCTAAAAGGCGCCCTCGATACCTACCTATGTCGCTTCTAAACAGCAACAAATTGGCACTGCATGTGGAGTTATCTTGTTCACGGTTATTTGGTTATTTATCCTTCTGCGATTATTCCCTCAAGATGGCAGCCAGACCTGGCAATTCTCGCAGCTCTTTGCTCTCCCGTATTGTGGAAGTGTAAATCTCAGACACGTGGAAGGAATGTGTTGATCTGTATTTCGCTACCTGATGTCCTGTCAGCTCAAGCTCCATATTCCTTTCCTCCCCAGGCACAGAAACCCGAGTCACAGGGCATCAGGTCCCTCCCCCCTTTTCAGGACTTGCCTAACCAATCTGCTGTCACTGAGCAACATTGGGGCTGCCTGGGTGTCAACTCTGGAGAGCGTAGCACCCCGCTGCCCTCTCAACCTCGCTGCCCAAACCCCAGGCCCCGACGGGCCCGAACCTGGAGGGATGGCAGCCGATGGGGGCGTGGAAGACATTAGGAAGAAAAGGAACGGCCAAGACTCTTTTTTCTTTAACAAGCATTTAACTCTGCATCAGGAGACGCCAACACAGTATTCTCTTTCAGCCAGGTCAGCATCTGGAGCTCCATGCCAGCTGGCAGGGGAGGATGGGCACTGTCAGTAATTTATTCGCATCTGTGGGCTTTTTATGGGACTTCCCTAGGCCAGTGTGCAAAGCTTAAACCCGGCACAGCCCACAAAGCTGAAATCCACTGCCATTTGGCACCTAGAAAAACACATAAACTGCTTAACATGGGAGGGGGAAGGGGCTCCTGGGGACAGTGAGTGGTCACATGGCCCTTGCCCTGCTTCTCCCTGCCCTTTCTCTCCTGCCTCTGCTATCCACTTACGATTAGTGGGAGAGGAAGGAAAGGGAGAGAAAGTATGCCAAAAAATAGTCCCCGTCCCAACCCTGAGTGACAGCCAAGTAAGATTGAGGACGTCAGCTCGGCTTGTCAGCACAAGTCGAAGCATGAGTTTATACTACAGAATGGGAAAATTACAAATTGGGGCATTCAGAGTAGATCCCAGTTGAGGTCACTGAATGGGGTCCTCTCTAAATGAGCCATCTGGTATTTGTAAATAACTTTTTATTACAAGTAACTACCAAACCTCTGCCCACATGTATTTCTATCCAGACTTCGGCTCTGGTAAGAAACTTGAGCCGAGGAAAGATTGAGTGGGAGGCCTGCAGTGCCACAGCAAGGCGGCAGAGACAGCAGGGCAAGTGTGCTGACGCTGCACGCTCTGAGAAATGTTCCCTGGCACTGCTAGGAAGGGGTTGTGCAGTGCCAGACAGTTCTAAGGGCATGTTTAGACCCTTCTGGTCTGATTATATGGGAGTCCTTGCCCAGCATGCATAGTTATGTTGCTGCTGAGAATTCACCTGCTCACCCATCCACCCACCCATCCATCCGTTCATTCATTCACTCGTTCATTCGTTGCAATAAGTACTAATAGAGTACTTGTTTAGTGCTGATGGGATCTTCTACATTCTTTAGACTTAAGAAAAGTAGCTTTTCCAACACCATCATGGCCACAATGGGCTTTCTTATCTTTCTTCACCTCCATCTGATGTTTTCAAGGACTCTCTGCTTCGGGATTGAAGGATTCCTCTGGATTCCACCCAAAAGATGGAAGCCATAGGCTCCACCCAATTGCAGGCAGGAAACTGAATCCTCAGAGAGAGCAGTGCTAGGAGAACCGTTTCCTTCTCAGCGGGCCTTTTCCCAGAGTTCCCTGGTGCCACAGCTGGGAAGGTGGCCTCTCAAGAGAAAAGGGACCAGGGAAGCCCTCTCATACACCTTACTGCAAGCTCCCCAGGATGCAATTCTGAGGCCTGCCCACCTTCAAGTGCTGCTTTGGGAAGAATTCTTAACTGCCGGAGAGTCCCAACTATGCTGGAAATGATTTCCAGGGGACATGGGGAAGGGGAACAAGGTGAGAAATAGGAAAGAGCCAGTTTGACAATATTCATCTGGCTCCTGAGGTCAGTATCCTTTCCTGCAAAATCAGAAACAAATGGTGACCCCAAGGCCTCTGTGCTCCTCCTGGTCCCCAGAGTAGCAGCAGCATTAACCCAGGCCATGGTGTGGAAGTAGGAGCTGTTTCTAGCGCAAGTCAAAAGACGGAGTTTGCAGGGAGGCCGCAAGAGCGGCCCACTACCTTGTGCTGGCTTGCTCCACAGAGTGTAAGAGGCATGGGGTTTGCTCCCAGGCACCACCTCCTCCAGGAAGACCTTCCCATCTATATGTTCTCCTGTGCCCAGACTCTGCATTTATCTTAAAAAAAAAAAAAAAACACTAGAAATTCCTGGCCTCCTTCTCTGGATAAATGAAGATCCCTGCACTCACCCCTTCCTAATACAGGGGCACGAAGACCTGCCGAAGGGCAGCCACACCCCAATTGTAGCTCCTCTGAGTGAAAGCTAAGGTAGGGTGGGGCAGACAGGGAAAAAATCAGTCCTGGATGTGGGCAAGTTGACATCACCATCATTTCCGAAGCCCCAACCCGCCACTGCCCTACAGCCTCCGTGGCCTGGCCAGTACAAGCCAGCAGCCACACAAGGTGACGTGGAAACGCCTCACTACAGAGTAAACCAGCGGCAGCAGACAGGAAATGCAGGAGGAGGCTGGCCTGTGAGGAGAGAGGGGTGTTTCCCATCCTGCCTTAAGCCAAGAGCAGGGTGGGGAGGCAGGGCGCAGGAGAGGGCTGGGAAGCCCTGACAGGCAGTGGGCAGAGACGGCAGGGGGATACTCGCCCATGTGCACAGGTCACAAAGCCCTGTCCTCATACTTTTTACTTCAAGCCAGGACCTAAATGTGAAATGACCACTTCTCATTAAAAACCACCTTCATGACTGCCAAAAAAAAAAAAGAGGGAAATACTGCTGGGGAAATTTATATTCTAAATAACATTCACCTTTTATTCATGAACCCAAATCAGCCATTATCCAGTAGCCAAGCATGGAGAAAAGGATCTGAAAACCTGAAAGTGATTTAAAATAGGTGCTGGATATTGCGATGGGAGGAGCCATAGGGAAGGGCCATAATTCAGATTTTGCCATCCTTCCAGTCTTCATTTTCCATAGTCTGGTACTACTGGGGTTTTCTCTGTAGCCTTGATGCTCACACTTCATCGAGCCTCTGGAGCGATGCCAAGCCCGTTTCTCACTGTTTCTCTTTCGCTCTTTTTTCATGTTTAGGAAGATCCCTCCTGCGGCAGATAGCCCCATGCCCTCGCCAGCAGCCCACATCACCACCCCTGTTCCAGCATCCGTTTTACAGCCTTTCAGCAACCCCAGTGCTGTGTATCTTCCTTCAGCTCCCATCAGCTCGAGACTCACCTCTTCTTACATAATGACATCAGCCATGCTCTCAAATGCAGCTTTTGTGGCATCGCCGGACCCAAGTGCCCTCATGTCACACACCACAGCTTTCCCTCATGTGGCTGCAACCCTCAGCATCATGGACTCAACCTTCAAGGCCCCATCCGCTGTGTCCCCGATACCAGCTGTCATCCCTTCCCCATCCCACAAGCCATCCAAAACCAAAACCAGCAAATCCTCAAAAGTCAAAGACCTGTCAGCCCGTAGCGACGAGTCTCCAAGTAACAAAAAAAGGAAGTCGCAGTCCTCGACTTCCTCCTCCTCATTCTCCTTCCAGACATCCCTATCGTCTCCATTATCAGGACCCCACAAAAAGAACTGTGTTTTGAATGCCAGTTCAGCTTTGAACTCCTATCAGGCGGGCCCTCCCTATAACAGTCTGTCTGTGCACAACTCAAACAATGGGGTGAGCCCACTCAGTGCCAAACTGGAGCCCTCAGGACGGACCTCGCTGCCCGGCGGCCCCGCGGACATAGGGAGACACGTGGGCTCGGTGGGCAGCAGCAGTGACTCCTGTCCCCTCTCGGTGCCCTCACTTGCAGGGGACCTCTCTCTGGCCTCACACAATGCCGTGTCTTCTCTGCCCCTCTCTTTTGACAAATCAGAAGGAAAAAAGCGTAAGAACTCGAGTTCTAGTAGCAAAGCCTGTAAAATCACTAAAATGCCTGGTATGAACAGCGTTCACAAAAAGAACCCGCCCAGCCTTCTCGCACCGGTGCCCGATCCTGTAAACAGCGCCTCCTCTCGGCAGGTAAGGGACCCGTCCTTCCAGGGGCCTCCTGGCACTGCCTTCTCTACCGGGTGGGGCAGGGGGAGCTGGGCAATACCCCTGCTTAGCCAGGTGGCTCAGACAGGAAACACAAGTGTGACTTCTTGCCTCGTTTTCCTCGTAGGCAATTGTCCCCCTCTGCTCAGAGAGCAGCTTATTTAACAAATACTTTCTACAGCTCTCCCTATGCACTAGGTGCTGTTTTAAGCACTATACAAATATTATGTCATTTAATCTTCACAACAACCCAGTGCAGTTGGTGCAGTTGTTATTACCACTTTACAGATGAGGAAACTGAGGCACAGAGAGATTCTGAGTTACCCCACTCCACTTCTTTTTTATATCTTAAGGTGAAGACGATTTTATTTTAAAGAGTTTTGTTGCCAAGAAGTTTTTTTCTGATCTATTGAAGTCCCCTTAGGAAGACCTGAGGCCCAGGCAGGTTATATGATGACCCAGGGTCCTACCTGGGAGTGGGTAGCTTGTGTTCCCTGCTCCCAGGTGACTGTTCTCACTTTACCTGGCTCCCTCGACCCCCACCTCCTCCTCATACAACTTTTTTTCCTAAAGTAAAACTGCAACTCACCTACTGGCACAGAAGTATTTGATGCCATGGTACAAATAGGAGGGTATATTGTGAGGAAAGCTGGGGAAATGTGGCGTGGTCCAAGAAGAATCCGTGCTTTTTTCCCTTGAGCTCTGTTCACATCCTCAAGTCTAGCCTTTCTCCTCAGGCTGGGGAAGCTACTTAGAAAAGTCCCACCCCCCACCCCCACCGGACTCTAGTGCCATTTGAACACAGAAAGCAGAATCCGGGAAGGGCCGAGTCTGGTGGAAGGACCATGTCCGCAGGCCTGCGCAAGGGCCTTACGGGTGCCAGGGCAGCACGCACAGACTAGCAGCGGCTCCGGGTTTACAACCACAGGATTTAGTAGGCCGGACCCTAAGCCATCCCCATCTGGGGATGAGGATTTTGGAGAGATGAGAGGCAGTTGTTAAAAAGATGGTTTTTTTGTTTTGTGTCATCTTTATATAGGACTTGTTAAAACCTCACGAAGAGAACATCTTGAGGGGGATTCACAAATCACAAACACTTGAAAAAAAGCAACTTTAGATCCCAAGGGCCAGACAAGCTGCAACTGAGGCCAAACAGAGAGGGGGAGCCGTAGTTCCTCTCACTAGAGCCCAGGGCACTCGCACATGTCTGCAGCTGCAGCAGATGTGCTGCCCTTCTGACTCCCTCGTTCCAGGGGTGCAAGGGGAGGGGGCCCAGCAGGTCTGGGGTGGGGCCTGAGAGTCTGCATTTTTTTTTTTTTTTAGGCGAGGCAACCCTTGGTTGACCTCACAGATTGCAAGGACCTTGTCAACTTACAGTCCTTTATATTTTTATTTTCTATGCCTACAGCACCTGGTCTAACTAGGTGATCTCCCATCCAAGTGCTAACCAGGCCCAACCCTGCTTAGCTTCTGAGATCAGAAGGGATTGGGCTTGTTCAGGGTAGCATGGCCATAGACCCAAGTCTGCATTTCTAACAGGCTTCCAGGCAGTGGCACTGCGCTGGTTTGCAGGCCACACCCAGAACAGCAAGGCTGTAGCATCACCCATTTTAGACAAAGTTCTAGTAGCTAACACTTATGGGGTGGACTCTGCTCCAAGTACTTAAGATATATTCCCTCATTTAATCATTGCCTATTATAACCCATTTTATAGATGAGTAAGCCAAGGCACCGGAAAGTTAAGCAATGTGCCCAAAATCACACAGCAAGTAAACAGTAACTCTGGGACTTAAGCCCAGGCAATTTGGCTCTTGAATCTGGGCTCTTAACCCCCGTGCCTCTTTTTAATGGAATGCCTCTATATTAAGTAAATGTCGCTCTGCTGACTCTTGATCTGCAGGACCATATGAAATGTTTAGTAAACATTATGAATCAGTCAATACCAGTGGCGAAAGGAGCAGACAAGCCTCTACCAGCAAGTTCTCATCAGGAGAGAAATCAAAAAAGCTGATGAATTTAACACCTGCCTTTGATCTAGCCAGCACTGGTTCCCTAATGCAGGTGAAAGCCGGGTGCTCATCACCAGGCCATTAAGAAAAGGCTTTGTTCAGGGTCACCACTGGTGATTTCCCAGAGGAAAGACCTTTGGCATCTGTGTTGATTCTCATAGGAGATTGGGAGAGGCATGGTATGAAGTTTAGAAATTCAAGATAAACATGTGCCTTGGGAACCAGTTGGGGATCTATTTAATTATATCTGGTAGGTATAAGGCCAGAATTTGCCACAGCGGTATTAAAAAACAAGACTGTGAATGTAAGGCAAATGTCTTTATGCAAAGTCAAGTTACTGTAAAGCAAGGGTTCCCAATCCCCGGGCTGCAGACTGGTACCTGTCAGTGGCTTGTTAGGAACCAGACCACACAGCAGGAGGTGAGTGGCAGGCAAACCAGCAAAGTTTCATCTAGATTTGCAGCTGCTCCCCAGTCCTAGCACCACCACCTCAGCTCCACCTCAGATCATCAGGCATTAGATTCTCATAGGAGCACCAGTCCCTGGAGCCAAAAAGTTTGGGGATTACTGCTGTAGAGGACCAGCTCTTTATAGGCCAAAGGCCTGCTGGTGGGAATAGTAAGCACCTGAGGATCCAGTCCAACATTTGCCAAGGACTGTCCCACGGGAAAGAAAAGAGCCCGACAGCCACACCCATATGCCCAGCTCAAGCTCCCACTTGAAGGTGAAGCTCATCTTGCTATTTTTCTCAAGAACAGTAAGGTGTGCACTGTGTCTTCTGGCCAGAAAAACTGACCCCGAAAAAGACCCAAGCTTTTATCGCCAAGGGAGTCTGGGCCTGAGGTCAGAGGTACATGAGTCTGTGTAACCCTTTGGCCACAGTGGGGAAAGCTGGGCCTCTACTGAGTTAAACACTCCAAGGAGGGACCAGGCCTTTGGCCAGATGCCTTTGTCCTCATCCCTGAAGCTCTCAGTCTCTACATCTGGGAAGTGGGATTAAGAGTTCCCCTCCACTGCATTTTCTCTCTGGGATGAGAGGGGCATCATCAAGGCACCCCCTGAAACATTTTCATTTTCTCTGCCATTTAAGATGGAAACACAAGTTCCACATCGACGCGAGGAGAATGAGTACGTTATCATGCACCCCTTCTCCTTTCCCCTAGCAACGCGTGGTAACTGCGGCTCTTTCCCAAGCTGGCTCATGTATCTGAGTAGGGCTTCACTGGTGTCTTTCAGGTTGGGAAAAATAGCAGCCTAGCTTTGTCACAGTCCAGTCCTTCAACTATATCCAGCCCAGGACACAGCCGACAGGTAAGTAAGTTACTAGGGGGACAAAAGTACATAGGGTCATCAGCAGGTTGGAAAGAATGAGCATTGAGGCCAGACTCTGGTTCAAAAGTTCCAGGTAAGAGCATGGCAGCCTGGCTTCTAAAACTAGGCCTTCTATTTATTAGCTGTGTGCCCTTGGGCAAATTACTTAACTTCTCTGTGTTTCAGTTTCCTCACCCATAGGGTGAGGAACATAATGGCCCCCTTTATATGACTTTTGTGGGGATTAATTTATTCACTAAAAGCTTCTAGAAAATGCCTGACACATAAACACACAGTATTAGCTGTTATTAGCAACTGTGTTATATTAGGCTGATTACTTCTCTGATTCTAATTTTTTTCTTCTGTTAAATGGCAAAATTGATGCCTGCTTCCTAAGGTGGTTGTAAAAATTCAATAAGATGATGTTAAGTAAAGGGCCTTGCTCATGGCAGATAGCAGCCAGTGCTTTCTCAAGGTCTCTGGGGAGCTCTAGCTACCATTCAGGATGTGGTTTTATGGTGGGAATATTCAGGGTAGATTTTTATAAACTTGAGGTGTGAGAATAGTCAGTGATATTCTCCAATGGAGTGTAAGAGCATCCAGGGGAAGCCAGGGAAAGTAGAGGGTGTGGTTGTGCAAGTTATACATGATTGAAAAAATACAAATATGGCTGCATTGTGCTGTCTTAGATGTGCTGTAGGCTTTGTAGATAACAAATGGCGATGTATTAGTCAGCGTTTTGGCCTTCGGGGTTTCCCTCACAAATTTTGGGTAGAGTATAGGTGAAGATTATAGGGAAACAATCTTTATATCCTCAGATCTTTGTGACTACCCTACATTTATGGTGTCCTTTACAGCCATCCCCTCATTTGTTTATTATGGCTGCCTTTTCCCAAATGCAGGAGGTGGGATGGTATCGTTTTTAATATAGATGGGAAAACTGAGTCTCCATTCTCAAATCCTTGTGGTAATCCCAAATATATGGTTTTGAAACAAGCTTTTCTTTTTTCCTTTCCTAGAAGACCACAAACAGAATGGGCAGGATAAGGACTCTTCCATAACAAGACTGTGAAGCCACTTCCAAACCAATTCCTGGCCACCGGCTCCCACCCCAGGAGGCCACGGGGAACTGGGGAAGGAGAGAGGGAAGTGGGCAGTGGGGGAGTCCATTTCCTGGGCCCTGACTGTGGCTCTGGCCTTTCTTCCTCTTTTTTTAATGACCAATTTTTAGTTTTGGAGAAAAAGAAAAAGGCAAAAGAACGTGAATTTGAGATTTACAGAAAACAATACCAGTGTTTTGTTTCCGTTGTCTTTCGTTTGCCACATGTACGCATTCTTCCAAGAGTGGGGTCACTCCTCCAGCCTCTGATTCCACTACTGACACCATCATTTTGCTCCAGCCATGAGAGCAGATAGTGCAGGGTTTTAGTTCCTGGTGGGCATCATCGGAAACCTTTGAACTTTAGCACCTACAGTGCTCCTTTCCTTGTCCTCTCCTACCCATCCTTCCCATCCCCTCCTACCTACCACTCACTGGGTCCCCAAGCTCCCCTCTGGACAGTGTGCTGGGGGAGGGGCTTGCTGGGGAGCTGAGGGCAGAGGCAGGAGGCTGAGCCAAGGGCACTTGTCAGGTTTCTGTGATGCACCAGCACAGCGGGAACCAGATGCTATGGGTGAAATTGAGAAGATCCACCTTTTAATGGTGTAGTTGCCACAATACCACTGTCCTGTTGTGCATCTCAGAAAAAATATACTGGGTCAGGTCTGGAATGGGCCTGGGAGATGGCAGGAAGCAGAGCACAGGTATAGGGGAAGATCCTTCAAAAGATGCAGGTGACTGTGGTCTCTGAGCTTGTTAGGAATCCATGCTGTAAATTACCTTCCTGGGCACTGTGTACAAGGGCCCAAAGCTAGGCAAGCCAGAAAGGGAAGCATTCCAGGGGAAAAGGCACGTGACCCTAGGAAGCTACTCAGAGGCATAATGTCCACAGCTGTGGAAGTTCTCAAACTGCCCTCAAGGGCTAGTAGGCAAGGGAACAGGTAGGACAGGAAGGAAGGATCTGGGGGGAAAGCTTCTACGGAGGGTTAAGTATCAAAGCCCTGATGAGGATAAATACTGGCATGGCCCCACTACCTCCACAGGGCCCTGTGAGTCAGCATGCCCTTAGATTAGCATGTGTGGGTTATCAGAGGCCCCAACTCAGACAGAACCACTCCAAGGCGTAGGAAGGCATAGCCACCACCTAGTGAAGAAGAGCCATTGGGAAGAGAGAGGCTGGAGCCCTGCAGCTATGAAACCGTTCACACTGGAGTTTTGAAAGAACAGCAATGCCATAAGCTCTAATCAGGTATCATAGGAAAAGAACTCACAATATAGAGGACATGTTCTGTGCTGTTCATGAAACTCTGCAAATAATATAATGGCATGGATAGTAGGAGGTTTTGCTTCATCCCTAAATCAGAAATGAATGCCAGTTTTGCAACTGGGCACAAACCCTCACCCCTACTCTGTTTCCTTTTCTTTCCCATCCCCCCTTCCCAAAGATCAGACTACTGTTAAGTTTTCACCACACAATTGCATTTTACAAAGACGGGAGGCAAACGGAGTGATTTGCATCAATGGAATTGCACTGACAGTGTTTCTTATAGGATTACTAAAGTTTTTTAATATAAAATAAAGATTTTTTAAAAAATCATGAGTTGATATTAGGTACTAGGACATTAGTTCAGATGATTTCATTTTTATTTCTACAGTGTTAAAAGTGCACTTATATGCTGGTTTATTTACGTCTTGGGAAAAAGAGACTGCAAATTGAAGGGAAGATTATGTTACTTTTTCTTTTTTTAAAAAAAAGGTTAAGGCAGATTTTAAGACTTATAAATGTTTAAGAAATTATAAACAAGGTTAGACCCTTTGAAAAAAGTTTAGAAGATATTCTTAAAGTAAATTTTTATAGTGTTAATTTTGTAATATTTATGTTTTACTATATTACAGAGCTAACTGACCAGAATAGTTTCAGAAACAATATGAAACTTAGGAAAGTTTAAGCAATGTTTATATTTTTAAAATGTTCTTTGAATTATGTTTTTATTGTACATTTCTTCAGACTGAAAAGTATGTACATATCTTTGTTATTTTTGCACAATTTTTGTCTTGTTCGGTTTTAGAAGTCTGTTTTTTTATAATTTATTTTGAGTTGTAAAACTTCCAGGAGTAAAAACAAAACAAAACAAAAAAAATCTCGGCAACAAAATAACCCTCTGATTTATAAACTCTTACATTCAAAGAGGGAAAACAAAGGTTGAGAGATTAAGTGGCTGCTTCTGAGAAATAATGTCTCGACAGGGACTAGAAAAGCAATTCAATAATAGGTTTAAATATTTTAGCTCTCTACATCTTGAATTGCAATCTGGAATAAAGAGGCTCCCCACCGAATGCTGCTGACTTGGTAAAAGACTGACCCTGACCAAGGTGAGGACATTTCCGGAAAACTGAGCAAAAAGGGAAAACCCACGGTATTTCTTCCTTCACAATCAACCGCAGGTTTACTTTATAATGTATTTAAAACTCAGCTTGAAAAATGCAAATAAAAGGTTTTCTTTGGGTTTGTTTTAATGGAGTTCAACTGGACCCACCTATAAAGCACTATTAAGGTAAAATTTGGGGGGAACTAAAGCCCACCCCACTCAGCCCTCTCTCCCAGCCCCTTGACTGCACACACCCCCATTTGCCTGAAGATCTCGTGACTTGTCGCCAGCCACGGAGGCTCGAAAGCTCTGGTTGTTAAGCATAACGCAATGCATAGACCTGTCAGCCATAAAAACAAAGCGACTTGGATAACTTGTATGCCTTCTTTTGTATCAATGTACCAATTGTAAATAACGCCGATCAACCTTTGTAGAGAATAGTTTATACAGCATATTCTATTATTGCTGATTCTCAGTGAACTCTTGTTTTAAAAAAAGGAAAAAAAGAAATTTTCTATTTACACCTTCTATTTTGTTATGCTGTCTGCCCATGGCACTTTAACAAAACTCTGTGGGTTTTACGTAGTTGGTCAGTCATGGGGTATATTAAATAACTGTTATTGCACAGACAAGAATTTGCACCTGCTCATTTGTCCTTTCCTACTACCGATTTTAGAACCTTTTCCAGAAGACTTTTGAAGAAAGCATGTCCAAACATTCTAAACAAATGCCACACTTGTGGAGTGGGTTTCTTTTCTACGATCCATATTTTGTAACACTAAGTATTTTCCTTATTTGTCCCATACCTTTATGTATTAGTACTATCAGATATAATTCATTCCATGCCTGTGATATTGTAAGCAGAATAAATGTCTAAAGTAGGTGTAAATAGTAAATTCTATGGCTTACAGTTTTAAAAAGGAAAGAACAAACATGTATCTATTGATACTGCCATGGTTCAACACCAGGCCTGGAGACATTCTCCCGTGAGTGATTGTACTTTTTTTTTTTTTTTTTTTTTTTGTAACATGGCTTTGTAAATAAAATAATTTATATGTTTGTAAAACAAAGTCTTCGGGTTTCCATAAAATTTAGATCTTTTGTTATTTTTTCCCCCCTTTTGGGTGAAAATGGTCTAACCAGATGAGCCTTCCTGCTAGCACACACATTTGAGGCACAGAGAAGAGAGTGAACTCATTCAACAGATATTTGTGGAGCATCCTGGCTGTGGCTGCCCCTGAGCTAGGCACTCTGTGCTTAGTGATGAGAAACAGACACACTCCCAGCTGCTTTCTGAAAGCAACCCACTTGAGGGAGACAGTAAATAAATGAACACACGATCAAGTGTGTAATTACAGATTGTGGTGAATGCGATGCTGGAAAGAACTGAGTTGTATGAGAGAGGAAATAGGAGAAACTGACATAAAGTGAGTAAAGGGAGTGCTGTCAGGGGGTTTTCTCTGAGGAAGTGAGCTGAAGGCACCGGGTGGGGAGAGAATCCCAGGCAGAGATGATCTAAGGTGGTGGGAAAAGCTTGGTAAGTTCCTGGAGCCTAAGGAAGATCAACTGTAAATGAAGCAGGGGGAGAGAGATGGGCAGGAAACAGGGACCAGATCACATGAGGCTCTTAGAGTTTAGATCTTGTGCATAATTCAGTGGAGATTCTTTGAAGGGCTTTAAGTCAGGACATGACATGATCTCTTAAAAGATCACTAGCTGCTGTTTGAAGAATCAGTTTGAAGCTATTGCAAGAGACCAGGCGAGACATAATGTTGGTGTGGTCCCAGGATGATGACACTAGATATAAAGAGAAGTGAATAGATTCAAGGTATATTTTACATATTAAGTTAACAAGACTTGCTTAGGAATTGAATGCAAGAGTAAGAGAAAGAATGATTTCTGGGTTTCTGGTAGAGCAATTGTGTTGGGTGAAGGTGCCATTTCTTCAGATGTGGAAAACCAGAAGAAAAACAGGTTTTTTAGGGGTGGGTGGGAGGAATGTTTGTGAAGATCAGAAGTTCTGTTTGTGCATGTATTTGTTCATGCATGAGACTACTATGAAACATCTATGTCAAGAAGGTATGGTATACACATGATAGAAGCTATCAGCCTGTCTACATCGGAGGCATCAATTTGGGAATCATTAGTATATGGATGATATTTAGAGTCACAGGTATAGATGTGATCACTTGAGAGAATGTAGAGGCAAAAAAGCAGACATTTAGAGGTTAGTGGGTAGCAGAAAGCTAGCAAAGCCCCCCAAGATGAAGCATTCACAAAGAGGAGAAAGAACTCAACAGGAAGTGGTTCCCTAGAAGCCAGGGCTGTAAGGTGTTTCAATGAAGGAACAGCCAACTGAGTCAAATACCGCGGCAAAATGGAAGATAAAGATGCTATGTGTCTGGGGTTTTGCAATATGGAGGTCATTGGTGACTTATTTTTCCTGAGGGCTGCCATAACAAATTATCACATCTTGGTTGCTTAAAACAAATTTATTCTCTTAGAGTTCCAGAGACTAGAAGTTCAAAATCAAGCAGGGCCTCATTCCCTCCAAAGGCTCCAAATGAAAATCTTTCCTCGCCCTTCCAGTTTTTGGTGACTGCTCGCAGCCCCTAGCATTCCTTGGCTTACAGACCTATCTCTCTCATCTCTGCCTCCATCTTCACATGGCCTTCTCCCCTGTGTTTCTCCTGTGTCTCAAATCTCCCATGCCTTTCTCTTATGAGGACATCTGTTGTTGACCTTAGGGCCCACCCTAAATCCTGGATGATCTCAAGATCCTTAATTTAAATACATTTTTTTTTTTCAAATATGTTCACACAGGTCTAAGGATTAGGACTTGGACATATTTTTGAGGGGTTACCATTTAACCTACAGTGACCTTAGAAAATCATGTGTGATGGGATGGTAGGGGCCAAGACCAGACTGGAATGGTCTGAAGAAAATTCAGTTGTGTAGACAAATCTTAAGGATGTTAAAAGACACGAGGGAGTGTTTGAATGTTGGTTTTGTTATTGTTGTTGTGTATTTTGTCTTTCAAGGGAGAAGAGAGCAGATTACAATTCACATGCTGGTGAGATTGTAGGGGAGCTGGTGAGACCAGTGGGACAACAGAGGAATGAAAGGTTGAAGAAGCAGGAGAAAGAACAAGTTCCTCAAAGAGAGAAGTCCTTGAGAAGGCAAGGGAGAAGTAAACTCAAACACATGAGGGAGTACTGGCCTTTGTAGTGTTAAAAGATAAAATGAGGCATATTAAAAATTTTAAGAGTTTATCTGAGCAAAAATGGATTCCAATTAGGCAGCACTAAACCAGAAGTCATTAGGAGCACTCCACTGACAAGAGCTCAGTAAGAGACTTTCATAGAAAAAAGGCAAAAGCAAAGTAAGAAATTCTTAATTGGCTGTAGCTTAAAGCCTGGTTGGCTGTTTGTGATGGTTGTCTCTAGGACTTGGATTTCATAATCTCGAGGCATTTATAGGCTTAGATTTTGGTTTGCTTGTATAGACCACCAGGGTATTAGAGCCACCTGAATCTGATGGCCTCCTTGTTTAATTAATTTAACAGTAGGAAGAGGGCTACTTCCTCCAGGAAAATGGGGGTGAAGTCAGCTTGTCAATTCGCTGTTGGGGAGATGCGGGAATTCCCACCTGACGGCTTCCATCAGTGACATGGAGCAAGTTGAGTGTGCATGAGACCATGGGGAGAAGTTTGAGAAGAATAAAGAAAGAATCGGTTACTAATGAAACTGGATTGCCACATCATGTTGAGCACATTTTGAGATTCATGATCAAAGGAAGGTCTTGGTATAGAAGAGACAGTCTTGGGGTGTGGTGTGAACACACCATGAATAGATAAGTCCATTTGGAGCCAAGGATTTTGGGCGAACTAAGGCAAATTTCTTATCATTTTACCTCAGGCCCAAGTGAATATTTTTACTATTGTGCAGAAGAGAAAACCAGAGGAAGCAGATTTGTAGCTTGGCACAGAGTAAGCATATTACAAATAAATGTTTGTACAACTGGAGTATTCAAAGTCATAAAAAGTCAGTGTGGTGCTTCTAACAACACAGTTGTCATTTATCCGTTGGTTCTGAGCTTTGTCCATGACTGGCTTCACTGCACTATCCTGAGTGACTTCTAATTCCATTTTAAAAGAAACCTATACATTCTGTGTTTTCCAAACTTAAAATTCTGAAAAGGCATCTTCAAAATTAGTCATAGGCTAGGAGAATCAATATGAAAACAAAAAGTAATCTTAAAGACTCTCTTCTACATGTGAAGAAACTGAAACAGAGAGGTCAAATGAGGTACAAAGACCACACAGCTGGCTGATGGGCAAGCCTGTTCTTTCAGTCTAGTGCTCTTTCTGTTGTAACTCACTGCCTCCAGTAGGAATAAACTCCTACAGATTTTCTTCCTAAGCCACTGTAGATATTTCCACGAAGGTATTTGAAAAGTCTACGTTCCTCCTAGTTGGTTTACTCAGGTCTCTGGAATTCATTTTACTACACTTAACTATTTTTCTCCTTTTTTATTCTTCCTATTAGGCAAGAATGACTTGCTTAATGGATTATTCCTTGCTTTCCGATCTGGCTTGGCTCTTCCAGAGCAGCAGATTTTATGTATCCATGTTTCTGAGCAAAGTTCCCAGACATGTATTTCAATAAGTCTACTTCCTATTCATTACATCTTTATAAGCCATCCATCTAGAAAAATAAATAACCAAGGTGCAAAAAGCTGAATGCCTCAAAAACAAATTAGTCCCACACAAGTCTGAGTCACTGCAGAACCGCTGTGTGAAGCCTGCCGACAACTTAGACATATTGCATTTATGGCGACAACTCGAAACACAAATCTGACCTAAGGTCATTAGCACTGAAAAGGTTCTCTCAATTTAAGAAATTTTGGAAATTTCCTGGGTTTCTTCTTTCGCTTTCAAATATTTCAGTAAATTTTTAATTAAAGCAAATATTACTATCCCAAAAGCTTTTGCTTCCTCTGTAACCTAAGTCAAGTATTATGGAAGCTGCTATTAAAACAGGCACTTGTGCAGTCTGCATTAGGATTTTCATCTTTTCTCGATTCACTTCACTTCCCTATCTGATTTCCTAGCCAGTCTTATCACTAATCCCCTCCGTCATCCA